GTAATTCGATAGTATTTCGACATAATTTCCTTGCGGGTGTTCGATACCGCGTTTATCTAAAATGGATTTTATAGAGTATAATAAATAATATCTCTCTAGTGATAGGGCGTGAAAGTATAATAGATTTCGGGTATCATCGTGTGAACGAAATAATGTGTCTAAAGGTCTTTGCAGAACCATAAGAGTGTTAGGTTCGAATAAATGTAATGTTATTATGTATTATAACTCACCCGTTGCAGGACTTCACAAGAACAGTTCTCCATAAGCAGTAAATTGCATACGTGTAAATATTTAAAATTTTCAGTACGTATTGATGAGACGAGATAGCTGCAGAAGGAAAAACCAGGTGTGATTATATCGGTAACTTTCGAAGGAGCTAGCTTCATTGCACTCAGATTACGAGCCATGGTCTACAAAGAAGTAAATTCATTACATTACACATCACAACACATTACCGGCAAACAGTCCGCCTGATAAAAAACCGTAACCATCGACTAGTATTTTACGAAAATAAAGCTAAAGGCGCCTTCACATTAGACGCTTATAGAAGCACTGCAGTGGCGCTGCAACAATTAACATACAATATTTAGAAACACATTTTAGTAGCACTACAGCTCCTTGTGAAAGAGTTCGTCCAGGGAAGTACGGCTACCTTATATAGGTATTTCTGTCGCCAAACAGTAATGTCCGCATATTATTTAAAAAAGTGAATTTTTTTCTAGATCAATTAGATCTTTCATAACCTTCGTAACGTAAGCATCATCTTTATGTTGACCTACATCACCAGTGTTGCTTTGTTTATACTTTTGTCACACATGTTAATTAATGCTGAAATTGCTTTTTTTTGTTTTATGATACCAAGTGACGGGACAAACAAGTTGTTCGGCTGGTGGTAAGCGACAACCCTGTCCATAATAGTTGCAGTGCTGCTCAGAGCTTTACATCACAAAGATCTGACGGGCACTGCTACTGCGCCCGTCACCCTGAAACATAAGTTGACAAGCCAAATGTGCCTGTAATTTCACCAGCACCCTTCAAAATAGGAACTCAGTAATGCTCACATTATTGCTTGGTGGTAGAACTAGGTAAGGTTGCAGTAGTTTCCTGGACGAACTCTTCACAAGGAACTGTACTGCACTAATATCTTCTAATAATTTCTTGCAAATGATTTTCTTTTAAATTTCTATTCACATGTACAATTAATAATAATATATAATTTTTTATTGACAGTGAAACTCTTGTAACCTTGAGAATGTCCAATTTCAATAAGAAAGAAGATATCCATAATATTAACCTTAGAGCTAAGTTCAAACTCATAGTACCACGATTTCGTTTAACCAAGGTAAACGAGTCTTTTATGGGGAACTTTATACATTTCTACAATAAGATTCCGGAGCATGTATTATCATTTCCTAAGTTTAAAAATTATAATAACAATATTTTGATTGAAAAGTTATATTACAAAATTGAAGACTACGTGTAGGTAAAGGAGTATGGAAAGCCAACATGGCTCTAGATTCCACACAAATTTCCCTAGAGTTTCTTGCTCGTTCTTCTCAGGGAGTCAGCATAGTGATCGAGCAGTAGCTTAAATGTGACGTTTTCAAGTGTAAATTGATTTTACCTACGGAATACTGTCATACGTTGAAGACAATAACCTCCTCAGTGATCGCCAGTACGGATTCCGAGGGCGATCTACTGAGGACTGACAGGCTCTGCAACGCAAGACTTTTAAGCAAGCTTCCTACTGACCTTTGCAATTGGATCTCGGATTTTTTGAGTGAACATTACATTCGAGTGGTCTTAGAAGGCTACTCTTCCGAACATATAGCGATAGAGTTCCTCAGGGTTCCGTACTGTCTGCAACTCTCTGTTGCATATCAATGATATGTTAATTCCAGGTACCTTTGCGTATACTGATCACAGCACAGTTGTAGGTAGATACTTGATCAATGCAAGGGTCAGTGGAGAGGAAATCCAGTCTTGTCGAGAATCCATGGTTAGCCGTTTAGATTTGACGCTCAAGGCAGTCTCCGATTAAGGCGATGCCAATCTTGTCAAATTTAACGCTACGAAAATGCAGGCGTGTCTATTCTCCACAAAACGGAGTCCTTTTGAACTGACTCCGACTTTTCGTGATATATCCATACCGATAGCCGATCGTCTCCAGCTACTGAATGGAATAACCGTCTGTCTCCAGCTACTGAATGGAATGGACCTGTCGTCCAATCTGAACTTCGGCAGATACATTGAATCCATGGCCAAAAATGCAGCTAGGAAGTTGGCATCCTTTCCAGGGTGAGGCGTTACTCCACATCAGGACAGTTGCTTCAGCTGTATCAAGCACAAGCCGGTCGTGTATGGAGTATTGCTGCCACCTTTGGAATGGCTCTACTATATACCAACTGGCCACCTTGGATTCAATTGACAAGTGTGCCAAGAGACTTATAGGTGATTCGGAATTAGTAGAGGCGAAGTTGCAGAGCCTTGAACACCGCCGTAAAGTTGCCTGCTTATCGGTATTTTACAGGATATATCACGGAGAGTGTGCGATGGAATTACACGATTTAATTCCGCCTTCCCCTTTCCATCATCAGGGGACTAGGCGTAGGCTTGGCTTCCACCCTTATGTTGTGGATAATCCAAAGATTCGCACGAAGCGTTACGCTTCCACATTTATATGGCGAACGGCTATGGAGTGGAATTCCCTGCCTGCAGACTTGTCCCCTGAATGTTATAACTTGGACCTTTTCAAGGCGAGAGTGAATAGGCATTATATAGATGTGCAAAATTGTTTGTTAATAGCGACATAATATAATAATGTTAGTACCTACATAGCATATTATCACCTACATTCAACTTACCTATAGCATTTTTCTTGCCAAGAGAAATAAAGGCATTAGAGATAGCTGTCATGTCGTGCATTAGGAATACAACAGGTCTGGTTGAGTCGCCAGCGCTCTTCTGTCTGCGGTAGGGAATCCTGTGCATTTCCAGTATATAGCCGTCTACTGTGGTGACACTATGAGTTTCTGCTTTGTATCCTTCGTTTCTTATATTTTCCCACCAGTGTACATTAAAACGTCTTATTTAGACGCAATAGAGATGATAAAAGTCTGATGTAAAAACAGATAGTATTTCTGGTTGAGTAATCGGGATTGTGGACCGGTTGTCGCGATGCAATTTGCAGAAGTAAAAAAAATCCGGAAGCTGTACTAATATACTAGCATAGACCAGAGAAGATTGATGATTTCTTATCGAGACACCCATTCCATATATTGGTTAAGGTACGTGAGGTTACAAGGTACGTAGTACTGTAGAATAAGGAAATAAACCTACATTGCTATGCCGCTGGGATGGGAGGCACTTATTGTTTAAATATGGTTTATCTGCGCAAAAACTTCTGCTTCATTAGCCTTTTTGGTATAAGAATAAAATATTAGTGTATTATTTTTTTTTTCTTAATGACGGCCACTAAAAAAATAGAACCAAGCCTATTTTATTAGTGGCTGTAAAGCCGAAGCCAGCCTCAGTTTCGATTTAAGTGTATACACAATTACCAATCTAGTACTAAGTAATACCAAAATAGTGGAAAATCACCAATCACGTATTCTCTGGGGATTATGTATTTGTTGATTAAAATCCGATAACGTTTAATTTTAAGCAAAGAAAAAGCTATAGGTCTAGGTAATACGTGGGCACTAATAGTAGGTAAATATGCTAGCGCCAATTATTTTCACGTCTAACAACTACAGTCACGCGATCGTACAAATGTTTTTCTGTGAAAATCCGATTTTCTTAACCTTTACGTCAATCCGGCTAACAGAAAATTTGTCTATATAAGGCTTTAACTTTATATATTTTCGACTTGGTTTTGACGACCTCCGTGGTCCAGCGATTTATACTGTGGGCGCTAGATGAGGATGCCCCGGGTTCGTTTCCCGGTAGAACCAAATTGGGAAATGAAGTTTTCTAACTTGATTCTGGTGTGGGGGTTCTGGGTGAATTCCGTTGTTCCAGAGCAACGTGATATACACAGTACAGGGAATTTCCTAGTTTGAGACCAGACAATTGGTGTGGTTTTATGGCACATTTTATATAATACTCAAAACTGCAAATTAGGCTCAGGTCTATATACAAAGTAATATGGTGGGTCACACCAAAAGAAACAATAATTTATTTAATATTGTAGCTCAAGTCGTTTAAATAGAGTTCACATCGGGAGTCTCATATACATTTTTTATTATTTGTTTAATAATAATTATACCTGGCGTACTCTTGATAAAAATAAAGCTCCATGTGATCGTACGTGAAAAGTGATCACATGAAAGTCATAAAAAAAATTACGTATATAATCTAATAATACGTATATAATAATCTCGTCTACTTCAACACCAAAAATTATCGATTCATCATCTTAACTTCACCTCTGTTCTAAAAAGTTGTAATTTGGCAGACGTGGCGTTATTACACTTTAGGGTGCGAATATGGTGAAACTCTCATCTTAATCTATAACTGAAGGAACTCGAAAATTTAGCAAAAAAAATACAAAACTGTTTTTTGGATGTTATTTGCATTGTTGTCATGAACCAACATGAACTACCAAAAATTTATCGCACTTTATGATAATAAGATATAATCACAGACCCATAGCGTCATCTTAAATCTGTGGATGTAATACTCGTACCTAGCGTAGTACTTACTCTTGTTTTACCTATGTTAATTAAACACTTGGGTGGACTGGAGAAGTTGTAGGCAATTACATAGCAAGTTTGACCCACTAAAAACCTCCCGAGTAATCCAATTTCTATTCATAATCACTAAAAAACTGAGTAGAGACTCTTCGGACTTTTGAGTTCATTTTACTATCCTGAACCTACGTCTTATTCAGTCAAAACATAGTCAAGAATATTCCATTATATAAGTTAAATTTCGTAAGATAGTGCTAGAAAAGCTGTAAAGTAATAAATAGAGAACTAATAATTATTATTTTTTTATAGCACCGGACACGATGGACCTTTCTCTGGATGCCGATTTTACTGGCAGCATCGGCGTGCGGGAGCAACATCTTGATGATCACTTTAGGTGGCACCAAGTCACATAAGATGCCTTTTTGGGAACTCGCTCGAGGCCTTATTAGAAGGTTTGTGTTCTATTGAAAAATACTTACCATGTGCAATGCGTTCCTCTTACATATGAATAGGGTCCAGTATCTCACCACATTTTCCAGCACATGCAAATACTCCAACTTCGGAAATTCTTAGCATGCTTTCCTCTACAACCTAATAAAACAATTTTTTAAAGATATGAGACATTGCCGTTCCTGTCTAATCACCTTGTAAACTTCCGTTCCAGTCTTTCATTCTTCATTAGAACATGTACCTATTCGGTACAGTGCTACCTACGTTCAATATAAATTTATCTGACAATATATTATTTAATATTTCAGGAGTCACAATATCACGTTATTAAGCGCCTTTCCTCCGGACTTCCACATCGAAGGTCTAGAAGAAATTGCTCCTGAAGGACTGGTCTCTTATGTGCGGAACTATATGACCTGGGATCTAGTTGGTGCCAGGATGAAAGGGGAAGATCCACTTCCCAAGAAAGATATATTTCGATATGGATATGAGGTAGAAGGTTGTAGGGTAGTGGCTACAGATTATGTATTTTTAAATGATTCGCTTTTATCCAAATCACTCTAAGATGACATTTCCTTAAATTTTTATTTTAATAAGGTTCATTTTTGTACTTTTTAGGCTTGCGACGCCTTCTACAGTGATTTTGAGACGAGATCCTTTTTACGCTCAGGAAGGAGTTTCGATCTCATAATGCTCGACGGTGCATTTCCTGAATGTGCTTTAGGTATAGTCTATCGGCTGAAAGTGCCGTTCATGTACATCAACACTGTTGGATTCTACGCTATGCCCTTCAGCATATCTGGGAGTCCTACTCCGTTTTCCGTGACACCGTTCTTTGGAAAAGCCTTTACAGACAACATGGGAATTATAGACAGAGCATTGAACACAGCTTGGTATGTAATGGCATATTCAGCACACATTTTGATGACAACAGTTCTACAAGGCATTTTGCGAAGACATTTTGGTCCTCAAATGCCACATGTTTACGACCTGTCAAAGAATGTTAGCTTCATCCTTCAGAATGGACATTATTCCGTGTCGTATCCAAGACCATACTTGCCCAACGTTGCTGAAGTGGCATGCATTCATTGCAAGGAATCAAAAAGATTGAACCCGGTGAGTTAAGACTACTTGATGAAAGATAATTCCAATTACAAAAACGGAATTATCTTCGTGCTTCCTATATCCGTATCATTTTTTGTAATAATTGCCTGGAAACTGTATGATAGCAAAACCAACAAGATTATAAGACATTTTTTCTGTTTCAGGAACTTGAAGAATGGATCTCAGGAGCCGGGGAGTCTGGTTTTGTTTATGTGTCCATGGGATCATCAGTGAAGACATCCAAAATGCCATTATCAGCCCATCGTTTGTTCGTCAATGCTTTGGGAAGATTGCCCCAAAGAGTTTTGTGGAAACAAGATGGTGACCAAAACATGACTGATATACCTTCGAACGTGAGACTGTACAAATGGCTACCACAGCAAGATTTGCTTGGTAAGTCTAAATTGAAAGTATAACGACAGACATTCGGCCTTAATTCAAGTACAAAAGTGGTGTCTAAAGTTATGTCTAGGTGTTCCGAATTAATAGTTGGTGTAGATTTACAGACAAGGTCATCTGAATACCAAATGAACTTCAAACTTGCCTTTGTGGTTAATTTCAGGTCATCCAAAGATTAAGGCGTTTGTGACTCACGGTGGTCTTCTCAGCATGTTTGAGACGGTTTACCACGGTGTTCCCATAGTCACTATCCCAGTATTCTGCGACCATGATGCTAATGCTGCCAAAGCTGAACTCGACGGTTACGCAAACAAACTTGATTTGCAACATCTTACATCAGATAAGTTGTACAGAGCGATCAAAGAAGTCATCAACGAGCCTCGGTACAAAGTAGAGGTGCTGAAACGTCAAATACTTTTGCGGGATCAAAAGGAAACACCTCTTGAACGCGGTATTTATTGGACTGAATACGTCATTAGACACAAGGGTGCTTACCATTTGCAGTCGCCTGCAAAGGACTTGAATTTGTTTCAGTATTACTTGATAGACGTTGGCTTGTTATTTATATGTTCAATATTCTCCATATTTGCTTTGGTGTCGTTTGTTTTAAGAGTAGGATTTAAGAGTTTAGCAGACTATGTGCAAAACAGGAGAATGGACAAGTTGATAAATAAGTCAAATTATCTCTTGAAGAGGTCTAACAAGCTTATAACCCAGACATCGTTAGCGAAAAAGAAGCTGTGAAAACTATAAATATTCCAAATAACTATTGAGTAATATTTATAAGAAAGGGAAAGACGACTTGCGACGCAAGTATGATACATTTTTCCGCCCCTATTATATCCGTTTGTTTCCTTGCGCTAAACATCTTCCAACGCTTTGTCAAGTACTTACCTATAGGGTCGTCAAAAATCAAGAAATTAATAATAATAATAATAATAACGCACACACTCAACATAGCCCCGCACTAGGGAAACCCTGTGTCGCGGGTGCCATGCACACACACATAGACAACCACAAATTACACCCAAACTCACGAGAGAAATAAATGTAGGTCATACAAATATTTCTTCCGGCCCGGGAATCGAACCTGGGGCCTCTGCGTGGCAGTCCGGCGTGGTAACCGTTCGGCCACGAAGGCAGTTTAATTGATTCTTTGGTATATTACCCAGGAATCATGAAACTAATTTTAATGTGCCTTGTATTTTTCATTCCAATTTGCGCTGGTCAAGCTGTGATTGAAGAAAGGTTTATTGAATACAGTTACCATTATCGTTACCAAAAGAATACCCGTGATAAAGATGCTTGTAAAATTGTAAATAGTTAGAATAAAAGAAGACGAGGGGTGTTTTTGTACAGTATGTTAATCGTGTTAGTCTGTCCAGATCCCGTCTTTTGTAAAAAAGGTAATTTAGTCTTTGTAAAATTAAAAATAAATGTAGAAATAGATTGTGTTTTGTAATGAAAGTGTAAAACGTCTATAGTTAGTCCACTTATAAGTTTATTGGCGTTACGAACCCGTTCTTTTACTGACTGTATTTCGATACATAATAGAAAGAGATTACGGACTATTATTACTCGGATGGATTACTTAACATTTACGTGTAAAATGCATGTAATATATCTAGCCAAAAGATTATATATATAATAAACAATATACAAGGTCATGTAAGTAATAGCTTTGTATTATGAAATCGTTTTATTTAAAAATAATACCTTATATCCGGTGACGCTCAATTTGAAATAATAATTTAAGATATTTGTACTGACTAAGAATAGAAATAAAAACTTTGTAATACATATAACATGTTTGTTTTATTTGTGACTAGACGTGAAAACTCTCATTCCCTTGAAATGCAAAATGAAACAATTTTTTTTCTGTTTTTTTTTTATTCCTTACGTTTAGTAAATAGTATAGTGTATTTAATTTTTAACCGACTTCAAAAAAAGGAGGAGGTTCTTAACTCGGCTGTGTTTTTTTTGTATGTATGTTACGCGATAACTACTAACTGTTGGAAAGAGGGTACCTTCATAGTAGTCCCATTAATTTTGAAGAAAATCATCCACCTCTAAGGGAGGCTGTTTAACGCATGAAGATTCATTTTTATAAATAGCGCCTAAATTTTAGTATAATGAGCAATTATTTTAATGGTTGATTTTGCTATTCTTTAATTCAAGGCGTTTTTCTCTCAATATACTTTGAGTAGTGAGAACCGATTTTTATTATCTCCTGTGTCAAGTCCTGTATAGTGGCGAACTAGGGGATGAATCCGGGTTTGCTCACTTTCCGGTAACCGATTTCAATAAAACGTGGTAATTATATGTAATTCCACGTATTTTTGAGGTCCGTTTTTTTTAGTACTCTGTACTGAGAATATGTTTTTAATATAGCGACTTTAAGAATATTTATAATTTACTTAACACAGACACTAGGCTGAATCGACTTGACGTCACTACATCTAATAACACACATTTGACATTCAAATTCTTTGATCTGTGATAATGTCACGTCACGTTATGAACGTGTTTTAAGAATTGTATATAAATAGTATGCCTTGTATTTGAAATGTAACATTTTGCACGTCGGACTTCAAGTATATCGAGGAGTCTGGGGCATAACGTAATAAGTACAGTAAAACGCGATACAGATAATCTTGGAATGCGCTTCTCACCCACGTTTGTATATAATATCTTTGTACGCTCATTTGAATCGATACAAACGCAATAATCTGCTTTTTGAACCTCTACGTTGCCATAAACGTTTGTCGCCTATGCGTAAAGACTACTCCGCATGCAAAGGCTCTAACTCTGATAGTGTATTTTTCAAGTTCTTTTCTGTGGTGGAATCCAATAAACAGTTCATGAGTCGCGTCTGTGGAGCGACGGCGCCGGGTGCACCACAACTAAAATTCATACAATATTTAGAAGCGCACTCGCAGCACCACTTTTGCAGTCACAAATGCAGAAGAAAGACGTAATTTCCGGTTCACCGATCGGAACTCCGATCGGTAGGAGGAGGGGGAATATCTTTCCCATAAAATACGTTTATATGTTATCAACATCAACAATACGTTTCCCATGCCTCAGATTGAATGCTTTTTTGTTTAGTTATAAACCCGACGTGGAACAGAGTACATAGAACTACTGGGAATGAACAGTATATTTTACCATTGAAAAGCACACCATAATAAGTTAGATAAATCACTTAACGAAAATTGACAGACTTGTTTGATTTTGCCCCGGACACCGCGATATGCGTAAGGTCGCATTTTTTAATACACGCTTTATACGGTGCGTCGCGTGCGAAACGCGTGACTAGTTCCACAGATACACAGATTTAACTGCCTCTGTGGCCGAACGGTTACCATGCCGGACTGCCACGCAGAGGTCCCAGGTTCGATTCCCGGGCCGGGAGAAATATTTGAATGACCTACATTTGTTTCTCTCGTGACTTTGGGTGTAATTCGTGGTTGACTATATGTGTGTCCGTGGCACCCGCGACACAGGGTTTCCCTAGTGCGGGGCTATGTTGAGTGTGTGTGTTATACACGGTGTCCCTAACGATTCTTATACGGTTGCGTCATAAAGCTACACGGTGTATATAACGCACAGCTGTTTTTCATTCACCATTAAAAAATATAATCGTTTATGAAAAATATACTTGACTATTCAAATTTACGAAATAAAATAAAAAACTATCAAAATCCTTAGTGATGTCTAAAAGAGTTTTTCCACCGGCGAGGCGAGACGATACGAGGCGAGGCGAGAATTGAAATCTCGCCGACCTATTTCCACCAAAAATTGCCATCGCGAGCTCGCGCGATCACGCGCGGTCGGTTCGGTTGCGAAAAAGTGTGAACATTCGATCGAAAGCAACGATAATGTGAATTAGGACCGTATAATTAATTTATAGAGAGTATTTTTTAAATATCAAGTTTATTTTTGTAACAGTATAGTTTTAGATAGTTATACATTTAAACAACATAAAGGTACCTTAACATCGTTATCCTATTTAACTCTTGTCGGTGTAGCCTCCTCCACTCGCCACGGTTCATAGCCATAGCTCATTGACCTTTCTATGGCTGCTCCTTTTGACGTTCTTTATTTTTTTATTACTACTATATTCTTGGTAAGGTACCTCATACTAAATAAATTATCAAGTGATTGACAATAATAATATCTACGTAAGTTACCTCGTTCTAAAATGGTACGGGCAGAAAAACAGCACTGTTAACGTCACGATCTAAGAGTATTTATGGTTAGGCGCTTATAGAAGCACTACAGTGGCGCTACTGTGATTTTGCAGCCGTGCCAGTACTAATTTTCATGCAATATTTAGATGTGCATTTGCCACGCCACTTTTGTAGTCACAATTAGTGAACTAATAATTAATTATAACTTTTTTATAAAAAAAAACGACGTCAAAAGTTCGTGGAATTACATCTATTTGCCAAGTTTTATTGAAATTGGTTACCGGAAAGTGCGCGAAACCGAATTCATCCCTTAGTTTTCTACCCTTAGAGGTAGAAAATTTTCTTCAAATTTAAATAGTACCTATACTGCGGTACTTTCTTTCCAACAAAACAAGAATCATCAAAATCCGTTCACAAATGCCGGAGTAGTCGGGTAACATACATACAAAAAAGTACTGGCAACTTGTAACCTCTTCCTGTTTTACAGTCCGTTAAAAATTACTGAAGCGCTACAGTCGCGGCACTGCAACGCTTTTTCAAGGCGTCTAATTTGAAGGCGTCTTAATTTCTATGTGCTTTTGTGTTATACCATGTGAAGTGACTGTGAATGTTTGTTTCTGCTTGTGCTGAATGAACGTTTTATCTGTCTACCTAGTTGTAACGCACATACTCTTAAAAGAGAAGCCAGGTCACAAAATAGGTTGTGCCATAGTCTAAATAAACGCTATAATATTGTGTTGACTCGCCCACTGATTTAACCACAAAAACATCGAACATTACAGATAATAACTCAAACAATTATTTCCATAAAAGAACATTACCATGTATAAACAATTCGCATAAACAATATAACAACAACAAAATTTAGCTTATTGTTACTTGTTTATACGAGGTTTACAGAAAACAGTAAATTGTAAATTCGGTACGTTTATTGTATTTACACGTAAATATTCTAATACATGTTATAAAAATAACAAAACAGTTGCGCGAGGCATATCCATATAATTGTGTTTACTTACTGTCAGGGTTAGAAGCGATAAATATATCCTAATATTTATTAAACAAAATTAATTGGAACAACATAATGCTACGGCTTGCAATGTTGTGCCACATGTTTTTATTTGAGACGCATCCAAACGTCCCAAATGTGAATTTCAAAAAAGTCGCAAACCAAATCATTTTCCCAAAGATTTTTCTTCGTCTTATTTAGTTTCCCTACTAATTGTCATTTTCAATCCAAAACTAAATAGATAAAACGGATTACTATCGGATAATTGTAATAATAATTCTTCTTCTTCCTGTCCCTGTCCCACGATATTTGGGGTCGGTACAACATGTATTTTTCTTCCACTCTCGCCTATCAGCCGTCATTTCCATACTCACACCTTTCTTATCCATGTCATCTATCACACAATCCATTTTCTTTGGCCTTCCTCTCCCCTTATATTCCTCCACATTCATACTTAACACTCTTCTCATCACATGACATTCTTCCCTCCGCATGACATGTCCATACCACGCTAACCTATTACTCATGATCTTTTCCGTCACTGGCGGCAAACTTCCTCTAGTGTACTCATTCCTTATCTTTTCTCATCACTCCACATATCGCTCTCAACATTCGCATTTCCGATGCATGCACAGTTAGTTCATCCTCTCTTTTCATCGCTCAACATTTGACCCTTAATACAAGTACGACAGGTCTAATCTCAGTCTTGTGTATTTTCCCTTTTAGACCAGATTATTATCAACGAAAAGATTAAAGTATTTCGAACCCCGATTAGTGTGTTATGGTTTACTACATATCCTATTTAACATCAACAGTGGCCAAAGATGAAACACTAAAGTACTAAACAAAAAACACTTTTAAGTATTTCTTTTTAGACATCTTAAAACATACATTACAGTTTGCATTTCAATATTTCTATATGCAATAAACAGGCCATACTGACGGCTCCAAGAAAAGAAACGCCTTAGGAACCGCCCGAAGATGGATTACATGGATATCTTGGCCGGTTCCTGAGCCTCTGCGATGACGCTGATTTCTTTCTGTTCAATTGGCTGTACTTTCGCTTCTGCGGAGCCCGGCGACACGGCAAAACGCATTATGCGGTCTGAAAAATATTTAACATCTTAACGCCTAACGTTTAGACTTTAGCAATGATTTAGATTGTTTACTTTGGTATATCACTGTTTGCCTTGAAAATTCCCACAAGAATTTTCCTTGTGTTAATGTTTTATTTTTGTATTTTCGTAATATTAATGCTTTGTTTTAATTTACTGAAAACAGTGTTAAGTAGTGATCGGATTTTCGGATGCTTTTATACCTAAAGTTGACTTTAGTCCGTTATGGACTGGGGCGTAGCTTACTATCAGGCGCACGACTTGATCGTCCCGTCCAATGAAATGATATTATACTTGTAAGTCACTGGTCCCGTCACCTAATATTATTGAAAAAAATTGCTGTCGAAATATGGAAGTGGCTTCATTTTTATTTTTCGGGATGACGTGACTTGTTATAATAATACTATAATATTTATTCATAATGTCACATCACGCAACATTTAGCACGCCAAGGTACTTAAAAAATGTCACTTAATGGTCTAAATCCTTAGTTCCCAAAGCGGTCCACGTGGACCCCCAGGGGTCTACGAGAGACTCGACGGGGGTCTACGTTGGCGTGACGAAAAAATGGGGTTCACAATTCGTACGCGGGGATCCACGAAAATTTATCTGCTTTCGATAGTGAAGAACTATAATGTTGGCTTGACTTCACCTGTCAATACAGGCAGATAATATTTTAAGAAGCTCAGCGACTGTTACTTATAAAAACTTGCATATTCCATATTCAGTACAACGTGTCTTTACATTTTTGACATCCACTCACAGCACAATCAATTAAATTCTCACTTTTTTTTCGAAAACTATTAATTTGTGGTTGGAACTCAGCAATTTGCCTTGCAAATTTTCATAGTTAGATCTAATCTTCACATTTTTTGTCGAGTTTTGGGAATATGGTAGAAATATAGCTGCAGGCGGTTCACCGAAACCAGCTAAATTTTGAAAGTGGTCTATGAGAAAGAAGTCTGGGAACCTCTAGTCTAAATGTTTAATATTTATGTCAAACAATATCAATAAGATAGTATGTCATAATTATTATATTTTAAATAGATTACATTTTGGACCAATACAAATCGTAAAAGTCACATGATGACCGGGAATATGATAACTGAATCTCAATTCAGTGACCTGAAGCAAAAAAGTACTAATGTCAAATTTAATCTTGACTATGGTTTCGGTTTTGAAGTATTAAAACAATTTTTTTTTCTTAATACCTAACTGAAGCTTTAACATTTTTATCTTTTAATATATAAAAAGTTAATTTAAATGTGACATAAAATTACAAATAACCTAATTACAAATAAATTAATGGAAAATACGTTTATTTCCCAATAATTTTAGTTCGCGGGACGGTAGCACATTCTATGTTTGGGAGCAACAGAATTGTAGGTAAATAAGCATTCGATATCCGACCTCTAGTGGTAACGTAGAGTTTTGAGGTGCGACGATGGCACCCGATGTGACGTGCGTACTTTAATAGTTTTAGTGTAGTCTAGAATTCAACCAGCGGCAGTGTCAACATCAAGTTATGCTCACTTTGTATTTCAGGACGTAGTACAAACTCGAATAACAACACATCTCTTTACAAAAAAGCTTTGGAAAAGACGCACCCTGCGCAAGGTACCTTTGAAGTGGAAGGCAAAGCTGCCCATCAAGCCTAATAAACCGAATGCTACCAGTAGCCATCGAATCACTCCTACGGCGCGCTTTGGTATGAACAGCTGGTACTTCAGCATATTCACGAACGTCTTATTCAGGGCGAGACCCTGGAATGGCAAAAAAATAATAAAAAAAATTATCAACATATTTTCAACCTTAGTGTAATAAGACTTTGGATCAATTTATATTGCGGTGGAACGGAATAGAAGCGAAGAATTTTCGTAACGATATTGTACATAGCCTAATGAACTTTATGGTCAATTGTGTAACGTACTAGATACGAGTCAAAAATCACGTCCCGCGTCTTACGCGGAATTCTCGCGCATTCTCGAGAATACCGTGGCTTCCATCGGCGACGTCTACCGAATCCGCGGAAAGTGGCGCGAAGGCAGGTTCAGTGTGACGTCAAACGACGACGACACACGTGCCTTCTCGCGCAGCGATGCGAAATGAACGCCGCAATGTAAATTGATCCAAAGTCTTATTAACAGATGCAAAATGCAAAATGATACCTTTTCAGGATAGAGATTTGAAGATTGTATGAACGAAATTCGTCGATAGTTTTTATGCTATTTAAGGAAAGATATAAAATTTCATATATATATATATATATATAATTTGCTTCATGTTGTTCTTATTATTTTTATGATTTTCATGTGATAAAATCACTTTTGACGCGTGGTCACACGTGGCTTTATTATTCCAAGGTTACGGATGTGGTATAGTGTAACGGGCTGGTTTCCGCAAATTGAGGTCGTAACGCCTTGCGTTTTGGAAATGATATTATTTACGTAAATAAATACGCAAAGAAAAAACGTTGGTAACTTAATGATTTTACTTACCGACTCTCAAGCAGAGGGCTGTGTGTTCGATTCCGGGCTCGCAACTGTGAGTTTTTCGGAATTTATGTGCGAAATTTAATTTGTAATGTACCATGACCTTTCGGTGAAGCAAAACATCGCGAGGAAACCCTGCATGTCGAAGAAGGTTCACTGCCCTAGGAAAATGTGCAAACCGCCTTGGGTCAGCGTGGCGAACTATTAAACCCTCGCCTGAGAGGAGACCCGTACCCGACAGTGTATAAACGGTTGATAATGATGATGATGATTGCGTAAATAAATGCATTAAATAGCTAGTAAACTTAACCATGGAATAATTGACAAACCTTTTTGGTACTTATTATTATTATTATAGGAAATAATAATAATAATAACGCACACACTCAACACAGCCCCGCACTAGGGAAACCCTGTGTCCTGGGTGCTATGGACACACACATAGACAACCACAAAGTACACCCAAACTCACGAGGGAAATAAATGTAGGCCATACAAATATTTCTCCCGGCCCGGGAATCGAACCTGGGGCCTCTGCGTGGCAGTCTGGCATGGTAACCGTTCGGCCACGGAGGCAGTTAAAGTAAACTATTTCTCCGGATTTAAAATTGCGTTTATTAGTTTTTTCAAACAAACCAACGTTTCGGGCCTTTACAGGTCCCATGGTCACAGTCAACCGATTTAAATCCGGAAAAATAGTTGCATTTCCTGTTTGTAACAATAACTTAGTTCACATATTTAACTTTGGTTTTCTTTTTCATTATTGTATAACCTTAATCTTAAACTTAATTTTAACCTCTGCAATCATAGTATTAAGAGAAAGTGTAAGTTGTCTGTGGTGAGAGACCTGGTATCCTATATTACAAGCTATGCTTAGTTTAGGTACCAGTCTTTTACAAACATAATATAAACACCATTTTTGTCTATCTTTCTTTTGTCCATGTTCAGTTGTTATGTTTGTGGAGAGAAATAAATACAAAATACATAAATACTTAAGAAATAATAATAATAATAATAAAATAGTATATTCATCTCCACACATTAATAAGTAAAAATAAAAATATAAAGTTCTACACAGTATTTACTAACAATAGTGGTGTGAGATAAAAAGGTCTGTAGCTCAGCACAATGGCGGAGTGTTTCACAACGCCGCTGATATTCTGCTACAGCCTACCGTGTTCATAAAAAGAAGAACTAACACACACTATCATTCTAGTTCTAAAATTTAACCCTGTTATTAGATATTTACCATACACATGAATCGGAATGAAACTATTTTTCCGGACTTAAATCGGTCCCATGACTCTCAGTCAACCGTGACCATGGGACCTGTAAAGCGCCCGAAACGTCGGTTTGTTTGAAAAAACAAATATACGCGATTTAAATCCGGAAAAATAGTTTCATTCTTATGTATAACAATCGCGAAAACCTAAGAACTCGATATACACATGAATCGTTATATAAATTTTTTCATTACAATTACACACAGAGCACTGTCCACACACAACTACACTACAATGCCTAACTCCAAGGTTTGCCTAGAGAATAACCAATTAAAACACTTCTTACGGAAAGTACGTAATGACAAAATATGACAGTCTCGCACAGGCGGGGGAAGATCATCAAGTAGTCGTTATGTACTCATTGTTGAAAAATGATGGTTGTATAGATAGTAGATAGCAAAGAGCAGAGAACATAATGGCCGATAAGTCGGCATCATGCATAATAAGTTTTATTTTTCGCCGACAATTCGTCGGCTAAAGAAAACCTCGTAACTCCGTTTTTAAACGAAATCTCTTTTTTTACTCTTCAAGCGCAAAATCGGGCAATTAAAGCGTGAAATATAATTTGTAGACCCCTTTTTAGTTGTAAAATACAGGTACATTATCTTATAATTATTTTTTATGATTCTGCTTTTTGTGCCTATCAAAACTTCACGTCATTGGTGGTTACGAAGTTTACTAATTTAGCCGACGAATTGCAATTTCGTAAGTTTTAATAATGCAATATCGAAACATTTCGTTATTAGTAGCAGTAGACCAACTTATGAAAGAGTACTGCCACCTTACCTATTTCTGCCGCAGTAATGTGAGCAATACTGTGTTCCGGTGTAGAAGGGTAAAGATGCTGGTGAAATTACAGGCACATGGGACTTGTCAACTTATGTCTCAGGGTGACGGGCGCACTATGGAAAATCGAGGTCTGTTTCAGATCAAAAATCAATAACTTTCTTATTTGTTAAGATAGACTATTGAATTTTTGCTCAAGCATAGAGTATTAAATACTGCTTTAGTTAAAGTTCAGATGCTATACTTTTATAAGAGTACGTTTATTTTTGAAAAAAAAATGAAAAAATATATTTCAGAAATAGCTTTTATTTGATTTCCTTAAGGACAACGCTACTTATATTATTAATAAAAATGTATTAATACATTCGTTTTTTAAAAAACAATCACGTTTAAGCTCTTATCTATTTAATAAAGAAATTAAAAGTTATAAGATTACAAACACGTATAGTAAAAAAAGTTACAAAATACTAATTTAAAAGTAAAATAATGTTAGAAATGTATGTATGTCAATGTGTATATTATGTTTTATTATACTTGTTGAACTTCAGGATCCAAAATGAGTTCATTCACTTTTAAAAGATCCAGGGTATCTTCATCAAGTGCCTTCACACTTTTGCTATATGTTTTTCTAAGACTGGAAATGTACGGATCTGATGTGTAGAGAAGAGTATGAAATACATCCGCATTTGTAGCTGATCGAGAGCACTTCCTGGCATGATGTAGGCGAAATTTTTTATAATCCTTATTACGGGATTCTTGTGCATCTTCGGAAAGTTGACCAATAGGAATTACACCAAAATGCTTAATGACACTTTCACCATGAATCAAAATTTTGTGTACTGAAGATGGCATGTGGTACCATTCATAATTACTTACATAAATCCTGGCAGTTTCCATGGCATATTTGCCAAATTTTTCTGCATTATGCCTTTATGCCTGATGGAAGAGCTTGTAAAATAATATACAACCTTTTGATCAAATTCACATCCACTCCGGTGATTTCAGAAGAACAATTTGCGTTGTGAAAAAATCGTCTAGCAGTATTACCGTCATTGGTATTACCACTTCCTTGCCGTGGTTTGTCGATGATCAATCCTAGCTCCTCCCGAAAAAGTTTTTGTACTAGGATTTTCTTTTCTTGCTTTTGTCTTTTCATTTCTTCACTTGTGGCTGACCATGTCGGAAAAGAAAGATTATATGAGATATGTAATACCAGTTCCATACAACGAATCCAGGCATGCAATGTGGAAAGTCCGTATTGATATGCATTTTCATTCTGGCCTACTAGTGACTTTAGTCAGATCATTCATTTGCCACTGAGTAGCTCCACAGATTGTACACGTGGATCCAGATGGTGTATCTGTTAATACTTGAGCTACTTTGCCATCTATCATAGTCAGAAAGAGTTCGTGGTTCATATTCACTCGTTCACCTTCTTTATTAATTAATGATGGCCGCAAGGAAATTATTTGGATCTTTATTTCATCAACAACAGCTTTAGTTTTTTCAGGAGTTCCTTTACAAAATTCTATCGATATGGGCCGACAAAAACGGACTGACGAAGGCACTGGATTTTGCCAGACAATGTCGCCAGTAAGCTTATTGACTAATTTAATAGGCACTAACGACGTAATAAACAAATTTGCATCAGAAACAAGTTCAGACTCCTCTGGAAGTTTTTGTTTGTACTGACTTTGACCAGATGAACCATCACATCCCCATTTACTGTATAAAACTAAATGACACAATCCATTCTTATACACCGAATCTATGGCCAAAATCCTAGCTACAGTGTGGTTCAATAAATCTTGAAGGTTTAGTACTTTTGCATGTGTATTTGTAATTTCTAAGTATATCTAAGTCAATGAAAACACTCAATGCGTCTTGATCCATTAGCATTTTGCTCTCGCTTGCGTTTTCTATGAGATTCAAATATAGAGACTTTGTATCATCACGGTGAGCAAGCCTTAGTTTTTCCACGAGTTTTGCTTCTATTTCTTCTCCTATTGAACGTAAGTCCTGAACATAGGCATTGCAAATGTGTTCAAAGCCATATTCACTAAATAGCGCGGTATTTTTTCGTTTTTTGGTTGATTCTGATGAGTCTCCGATAAGAGACACAGGGTCTTCCGCGTTTCCCAGAAGAAGTAGATGGCGTGATGTCAGGTGTTACTTCTTCGATGCTCGGTAAGGTTACCAAATATTCAGAATCCAACCAATTTTCGTTCTTTTTTAGAAACGAATCCTTTTTCGTGGACGCTTCTGCCCATCGTTTATTAAAGGAAGGAATGAGATTCCTTTGAACATCACTGATAATAAAACACATGTTGTCTTCAGAAACATGATAGTTTTCTTTTAAAACTGTTGATGGGGTTTCAAGTTTTTTTCCTCCTTCAATGTATGAGAGTAATAATTCACGCTTGGAACACTTGAAAGAATTTGACATTTTGAAATTCAGTGATGATACGTAACAATCAAACGTCTGTTTAGTTTTATTATCAATTTGTAATAGCTTTATTAAATTAATTCACTCTTCTTATATAATTTCATAAATGAGGGTAGTGTGCATTTTGTTGATTAAAGTAGTACCACAAAATAAGTGCAAAATGTAGACAAAACGCCCTGTTATCAATAAATACCTATAATTTATTGAAATATACCGCAAACTAATCAATTCAATAGTACAACATAAGAAACCACAATGATAGCGGTTTTCCGTTTCTTGACTTATATCGTAGTTTTCGCGATAACTTCTAAAACCGCACGTATCCGCAGCTGATTTTTATAAATGTTATTTATGAATATCTGAGCCTTTATCTGAGCTATAAAACAACACCAAATGTAAAGCACCGGGAGACATCGATAACTGTCAAAAGTCTCGATGAATTTCAAATATCCTCCTCCATCCATCCATCCATCCTTTTTTTCCCCTCACTTTTTGTATTTTTTTTTTTATATATATTCGCACAAGTTTTTGAAAGAAATGATATTTAAAGTATTGAAGCGAACAGACCTGAAATAGACATTCTTACGAATTACAATTTCTCACATTAAAAAATATGTATTCCAAATGCAATTCACGCAAAATTACTACATTATATTAAATACCACTCTAATACAATTTAAAAAAAAATTAAAGTGCGTCAATAACGACTTAAGTAAAAACGATTTTTGATACGCCGTTGTTCTATGATTTTCCATAGTGGGGCGTAGTGCCTGTTCCCATAAGATCTTTGCGATTTAAAGCTCTGAATGGCACTGCAACTGTTATGAATATGCGTGTCGCTTACCATCAGGCGCACGACTTGTTCGTCCCGCAACTTGGTATCATAAAAAAAATACATAAATGATTTTATAAAATGTACCTACAATATTATCAAAAGTGTAAAAGTGTCTTTCCATTAATATTATCATAAAATATGTACAAGTTTAACCTTGTTAAAACTGCAAATGATTTAACAAGGTTAAACATTTTAAAACACGTAAAATTAGCTCTAATCTGCCCTTGGTAAGGTAAGGCGCGCATCGATGACGTAAACCGATGCATCTGTATATTCCCATGACACTAGAGAGCGGCAAGCATCAGCGTCTAAATTTCAATAGTAGGTACTTTACATAAATTCATGGTTACTTATCGTCGAAGATAGTGCAAATCCGCGTATGTAAAATCAGTGCTGCGATTTTATTTTACGATTTTATTCTAAGCATTGAATGATGCCTGAAAGTGCCATCAGCTAGAAATGAAAGTTTTATTAAAAAAAAAATTACGATTTTAATATAAATTTTGTACAGAGTTTTGTAAGATTTGTATGATATTAAATTTATAGTATGTTCATCAGTTCATCATGTTTTATCAGAACACTAATAAGAAGACCCTTCTTACTTATGTTCTCGTTTTTGTTACTACAACAAAGGGAGTATGCTAAGACAATGGCGACGGTTACAATTGCAATATTTCGTCACCAGAAGAAAAAGTAATACCAGTAATCCAATTTATAACATCGATGACATCTTTATGCTAGTTAGGTAGCATGAAATTCTTATATCAGGACACCTGAATGTCTATTCCAGACTATCTAGATTATGTTTTAGCCTTACCGTATATATTTCCTAGTACATTTCGAGAGTTTAAATTGTTCAATAGTGGAAATAAACATACCGAATTACCAATATTTGACGACCTCAGTGGAACAACGGTTTGCGCTGTGGGCACTGGATGAGGAGGTACCACATTTGATTCCCGATAGAACCAATTTGGGAAATGAAGTCAGTCAGTCAGTGGTCTGTGATGTACGGACAACAGCACATCAGACTACACATTTTTGTTCGAAAATCGCCTCCAGTACAACGGAACAAGATACGTCAATGTGTAGCTTGATGCGTGATGGCGTGTGTATCTCAGAGTGAATTCCGTTGCTCCGGTAAGGGAATACCCTTACCCTTACCCTAGTTTGAGACCAAAGCAAGAGGTGTGGTTGTAAAAAAAGCCTACTGCTTGGCACGGGTCTCTTCTAAAAAGATTGTATAGGTTTGTACTAATTGAATTAATCTGTGCAGTAACGGTTTCTTGAGTATTAACTGGATTGCAAGTGTGATTCCACGTCCATTACAATCCATTTTTGTGCCCGTGTAAACAGATTTTGGATACCTGTTATAGAAAAATGTTAAGTGCCTATTTGTGAAGTAAGCCCATCGAAAATGCAAACACGTTGGACCCTTTTTTGGTGTACTGAGGTACATAAAAGACTGTGATTGTACCTCTTCGATCCAGAACAAAGGCACAATTGTGTCAGGCAGGTCCTTGCAGAGCTCTAGCTTGTCAGTCTTCAACAGACGCATGTTGAATTGAATACGCTGCTTGGCGACCATCGGTGTGCCACTTATCTGCAATGACAAACTATTGAAATGCCAAGCACTGGAATATCGTTTAAACTTAACAATTGGATTACCAGAATTGTATAGATATTTTATTTATAACGTCTTCCTATTTATAAGAACTGAATTAATATAGATCCATTTCCAGAGGAAACTATATTAAGAATGATCAGCTCCTTCTTTGTTTCATAAAAAGTATTTTGGTATGGGCCATCCTAATGATATATTCACTAGGGAAACAAACTTATCGTAAAGAGCCAAGAAAGCGTGCTGAATAAAATTCTGATATTTTGCATTTTAAGTAACTTCCATGACTTATTTTAATGCAAAAATAAGTGCGCGACGGTGAGGTCGACGATATAGCGTGCACACCTAAACCTCACTCTCGTCTTGAAAAGGTCCAAGTTACAGCGTTCGGGGAATAAGTTCCCAGGCGGGAAATTCCACTCCCTAGCCGCTCGCCATATAAATGTGGAACGAATGGAAGCGAAGCGCTTCGAAGGGGTCGAACTCTAGCCGCCGTCTAGACCCCGATAAGGGATAGGAGAAGGTGGAATTAAATCATGCAATTCCATCGCACACTCTCCGTGATATATTTGCTATATATATAATCAAGGTTCATACAGGGTCATGTGCAGAAGTAGTGTTTGTTATAGGTAACATTATGGTAATCGTCAAACTTACCGGTTCAAAATCAATTTCAATGCCATGTTCATTAATATCAGGGTTTAGCCCTTTCACGTTCTTCAGCAGCCCAGGGTCACTGTCTAGGAAATGCGGCAGGGAAGCATACATTGGTGCTTTCATGCATTTAAATAAATCCATTAATCCTTTTGGAGGACAGGTGTCAGGAGCATCACAGAAGCAGTTTAGTTCTGGGTCATTGGCAAAATCCCCGATGTTTGCTATGTAGCGATTCGTTTTGATACCTCGATACGAGGTCTGCCTTTGGTACCAAGGCTTGAAAGATCTACAAAAAATATACCCATAAAAACGGACTGTGTAAGTGTACAGTATCTGTTGTATACTCTCGTCCTACTGACTGATATCGACGATGTTCTCATATAATGAATAAAACATGAGTAAATTTATAAGAAACCATCAATACAAAACTTCTTGGTCCAAAAAGTCAATAATGTCCATCTGTAATTTAATGAGTCCAAACACGACTGTAAGTAGGTAGTTGAGGAGTTGGGTATTCTGAAGACCGTCCTGGTTGCAGCATAAGATCAAGGTTACCACATTATTGTAGTATTATAGAATAGGTATCATTCTTCCATAGTATATCAAATCGATCGGACATAAAACATTTTTAACTATGTTTCATAAACAGATGTTTATGAAACATAGTTAAAAGCCGTCCTTCCTGATTAAATTAGCTTTCAAATAAAAAACCCTGAGATCTGTTTTTGGAAGTCAGTCTATGGACGTGACAGACAGGTACTCAAACAAAGGCTTGAAAAACACTTCAAAGACCCGCTCTTTTTGCGTCGGGGCCTAAAAATGTTTTTGCATTTTGTGTTTATTAAAACAGTGTATTCATTATTGTTTGATACCACGGTTTGTCTTTGGGCAGAAATGCAAAACAAAAAAAATATGAAGCTTGTACGTTGCTTGTAAGCAGTAAATTGTACCTAAACCGTATAGTTAAATTATTTTTATTTATTTATTATTAATTACGGTATTTAATAATTAATTACAACGGTAGAGCCTAAAATCAAAAACCTGCGACATATATGATGCCAATAGCTTAATACAAAATCGATTCGCAGAAGCGGTCTGTTTGGTCTTAACGTCCTTTAGTTAAGCGTCAATAACAAAATAACAAATCTATACTTGAAACCTTTGTCACATCTAGCTATTGCCGACCTGTGTAACCCGTTATACTGCCATTGATGGTTCAAGGACGCACTCGTTTACTCTTGACTTAACGTTTAAAATATCATGAACTAAACAGTAATGGAAAAATGTTCATTCTTTGGGACAACCTAAAGCGTCTGGCCAGTATTTATTTGGTCTGTGGTCTGACCATACTGTCACAAAACAAAACAGCACAATTTGACGAAAATATTTTTTTTATAACACTGGCCTAATTTCTTTTTGTATGGTGGTGTTGTGCTTAATTTAATTAAAATTTACCATGAGCATTTCAGTGAAGAAGAAGAAATTTAACAACCCTCGGAAAATGTGAAGTCCCCAACCATGTCCTAAACCCTTATCTGAGACCTCTCTCAGACCCACTGCTGGGCATGGGTCCTCCACCCGTGTTGTTTGTTAGGAATGAAGCATCCTTGCATGTATAGTAATATATTTTTTTTTTATACCAAGTGACGGGACTTTATTGCTACTATAAAAATTGTCCATCAGAAAAAAAAAAGAAAATACGCCCTGTCGTGCTAGCCCTAAAAAAGGATATTATCAAACTATAACAAAATAAGTAGCGCAACTCCCGCCTATTCGGCGCGTCAATGCCTACACATAATGATATTATACTGTATTATTTATGCTCACTGCCTACCAATGGCGAGGCGTGAAAATTGTCGTTAGTAAAGCAGCAAAGAAAAAACACGCAATGCGGGTCGGGCGTGCACACATACAAGTCGTGTTGCTACGTTTGTAAAAAATTATACTACTAGTCATTATAATATAATATTACAGTATCACAGAAAACTAAGCACTTCTACTGTATTTATTATACAGTAGAAGTACTTAGTTTTCGTGACACGTGTCCCAACAGTTCGCGGAGTTCCGCAAACTTAAAGCTCAGTCCGCCGTTTTCGGTCTGTACTTTATGGTCGTGTCAATTACCAACATAACCTCGAAAATCGTAGAAAAATACCTTGTTTCGCTACTTTGGAGTGCAAAAATGGTAGTCGCACTTTTAATATTATGTATGGTTGGTGGTGTTTCGTATGATCATTAAGTCTTATTTATTTAATTTTAATAAATTTTCAATTTTCCGTTTATCGTAATAATTTTTTTCGCAATTGCTTCTTTTTTGAGAACTAACTAAGCATCTCGAATTTATCGTCGTTCAGCTATTAAGCTCTAGATGGCAGCACATTGAAACTTCAAAGTAAAAAAAAATGCCATAACTTGCTATAATAGGTATTGATGGTATTGGACTTTCAACGATATGCCAACAGGGTACAGCTTAAATTATAATAACAGTCGAGAATTTGTTATTTCTTTTTTAAATTTTAAACTACGACCCATCATTATCAAGATTTCATAGTATTTCAAATTATGAATGTACGAGTTTTGGCGACAGCGGTTCTGATAGTAATCGAGACTTTAGCCACTTCATTGCTTTTTTCTTCCGTGTACTGCGTATACGGCATAAAAGTGTTTTGTGCTTAAGCGCAATACTCACTGGTGAAATGGGAGCACTTTAAAACATGACAGAAAACCTATTACTTCTAGCTATGTTTCTGTTCATATAACATCAAACCATTTTGAACCGTTCAAGTTTAAATATAATTTAGTGTCATTACCGGCACAGATCACCAGCAAAACTCTGCAAGCGATCGAACTGCGTCAAGAAAGGTGGGAAAACAGTACCATCAGTCCCCTGGTACTCATTGCAGTGGTCTCTCCAGATCTCCAATGTTGGTTTTCCATCGATAGCCACAACTTGACCTACTTCCATTACATTCTTGATGCCTCTTTTGACAGTTACCACATGAGGATCTATGCTGTCGTTACGCTGTATATAAAAAAAAAATATATATATCGCACTTGACAACTTGAGTATTATCTCAAAATTTGCGTTATATTATATTTTATCGAAATTTTGGTGATAAATGATTGATATATATCGATATATCATTCATTTATCACCAAAATTTCGCCGTATTTGTATGTCATTCGTATACGATTTAATTTCAAAGTGACAGGACAACGCTATCGCTTTGAAATTAAATAGGTAATATAACTTAAAGCAATTTTGAGATAATACTATGTTAGTTGTCATGTGCGATATTTAGGCAGGTTAAAAAAGATCATTGGAAACTAATTTCTTTGTTAATATTCAATTCAATTTACTGACAACCAAGATTTATTAATGCGTTAGTAATGCGAGATTTATTAAGTAGGTAGTATCTGTGAGAGTACATTAATTAGATTTCAATTTTGTTCGTAACTTAGTCAAAGTTCGTATTAGAACGTCGTAAGAACTCAATCAATGAGTCAATTCTAGTAGCGGTCACGTTTCGTCCTATCCATTTTACTCATTACCTGTGATTGGTTTTTGTTTAAGATTAGATTAGAAGAATATTTTACGACAAATGTTTTTTTTCTTTCTAAACATAGGTACAGGATACAAATAACCCAACAAGCACACACGTTGCTTATATTACCTCTGTACAGCCTAAAAGTTGTATATTAGCTGTTTAAGGGATGTACTATAGCACTTAAGTTCTTCAGTAGCGTATTCAAAAATAATTAAACAGGCGCAAATCGTACAATAGCCGTAGCAACGGCAAATGTAATCCTAAAAGAGATAAAAAGGCTAGTCGTAGAGCTATTGTATGGGCAATTGATGTAAAGCAGAGTTATAAATAGCTTTTATAACATCGTGAGGTCTTGTAGAGAGCTTTTGAAGTTAGAAGTGTTTGAATGGAGTTATTGGCTTCCCTTAAAACGCTTTATGTGGTATATAGTATATTTCTAAATCTTTTATAGCACCTTGAGGTCTTGTAGAGGGCTTTTGAAGTTAGAAGTGTTTGAATGGAGTTATTAGCTTCGTTTAAAAAGCTGTAGGTGGTATAGAGTATGTTTCTAACGCCTGGAACTGTTAAATAAATTTTACTACAGCCTTTGGAACGATATATCTACAGCAGAGAATTATATTTGTAAAGTAGCGCTTAGGCCGTTATATTTGAGAATTATACAACAACTTAACTTCTAAAAACTTACAATAGCGCGTCAATACCACTATTGTAAAACCAAAAGGTCTACAACGGTGAATACTAGCGATCAAATCGGTAGAACGGTGTTAGTAAACTGTGAAGGCTGTTGTAATAAAGACACCATTACAGTTTTTAATTAAACCAATTTTTTAGGTTATTTATACATTTTTTAATGTATAAAAACCGAATCCACTTCACTCTTTCTCACCCATGACCGTAAAGAAACTTCCAACAAAGCGAAAATATCTTATTTAAAAATTCAAACTTCACACACTCTAATTAAATGTACTTTTTACACAAAAAACTGCACATATAGAAGGCGCGTAAAAATTTTAGCTAAAATATATTTACAATAAACTGGTACTCGCCCTTTTATTTTGCATGTATTAAACGGAAAACTTATTTTATCAAACTGTTCACCATCACTTTCCAGTCAGCAAGGTCGCGGTCTTTATGAGCAATAAAATGTGTTTTGTTTATTTCCCCATAATATCGCTGCTGTATATCTAGTACAGCGCCGTAAACTCTATAATTCAGAGATACAGTCGCGTCTAAATACGATGCGAGCGCTATAGTCGCGCTGCAAGAACTTATTTTAGATACTCGGGCGCACATTACCGCTCGCGTAGCTCATTTGTATTACTTAGGCGCACATTGGCTGCTCTCATTGCACGTTTGTATTTCTTCGATGCACATTTACCGCGCACATTAACCGCACGCATCTTCTTTCTCTCTTCTTTGTATCTTCGTATTAACACGCATTTACGACCATTTTAGGACGCATAGCGTATAAATCAGTGCCCATTTTGGGGGCACAGCGGCGCTGTAGCTGCTTATACGTCTACTGTAGAACTCATTAATGCAAGCTATGTCGTTATTAAGAACTAACTGGCTATTTTACGGCTTGTTATTAGAGTTTGTGTGCTAATTGGGAAGGCCTACCTATCGTTTAAACACTCAAGTAGGTATCGATAAATATAAGTAATAGATAAATTCAAACAATATTGAAACTATTTTGTTGCTGATCTAAATCGCATAGGTTATTTTTTCAAACAAGTCAACATTTATGCCCCTTAGACACATCCCGGACCCTCAATACAACAACGGCAGAAATAGAAATAGAAAACACTAAATAATTCGAAATTAAAACATCGAAGTCGTTCCTTAGCGAACGGCTCGCTGATAGCCTTGTTGCCCTCCCGTCAATGTGACCGTCAACACGAGGGGCACGGTGGAGTATCTAAAGCTAAAGAGGGGCGAACAGTGAGTTTTCTTGTGACTTTTTTATTCTCTGCTTTTGGTCACAGCTGACTGACTATCATGCGTTTTAGATCCAAAAAAAATATTATTTCGTTTCTAGCGTGCAACAATCGCAAAACCCTAATATATTCAGACAATCTTGTTTTTTTATTCAATTGTCTATGAAATAATTAATCATCAATAATGCAATAAAATATATTACTGTTTAAATCTGATTAAATATAGACAAAATATATATAATATAATATGCAAACTCTTTGCTCTTAAATCACGGCCAGGCATTTGATATTTTATTTAAAACAATTTGACACAAACATTTAATAAAATACTTCGCCTCTTTCGGCTAAGAAAACGGCTAGCTACCTCAATCTGTATTATTATAAAAAATGCATTATAAAAAATTTACATCGCAGAAAGTTTGAAGAAACAGAAGAAAGCAAATTATAATATTAATTAGGTACAACGTACAACGTAATTTTCAAAAATACATCAACCGTGTAAGATATTTTTAATAAAACCTACCATTTAACATTACCATGAAATATTTCCAAAATCAAACAATAAATCTGTATAATGTCGCTTGTGCACTAAATCAGATTCGAATCCAGGATAATACGAATATTGTTTGTACACCTAGTGATAAAATTGAGGCCTGTGACATTGGTCATTTCTTAGAATCGGAACTGATACGCATCGGACGTAGTATGAGAAAAGCGTTTGCTCTTCGAGTGAAAACCTCACGTACGCGTTTTCGCATAATTCGTTTTTACTGATTTTTGTTAAATAAAAAACTATAAACTTCTTGCTCAAATATAAAGTAATATAAAGAGGTTTAATTTAACTAATTAAAATGCTAACTACAAACATTACTGCACTTACTACATTTTACATCGCATTTTTATCTTCGTCCTGAAAACTTACATAGAACTCACATACGAGGTATTCACTCTAAGACGACAAATTGTAGTATTAATAGATTCATAGAATGAAATATAAAGTACTAGCTGATGCCCGCCTTCGTCTGCGTAGAATAAGTACACGTACAAGTTCTAGTTACACGCGCGATACTTTTGCGGAGTCTAATCTCGTTCTCTGTCCGACATCCGTCCGAAACAGTTACTAACTCCAATAAGTAATAGGTACTCGAGCTAATTAAAAGACAATGTCAACTATGAAGTTTCATTCGCATCATGCGTATTTTAATTGGGTAGAGTATTACTTATTTGACAGTTTTTGTTTCGAACGGAGAACGAGAGTACATTGCCAGACTAGATATTGTAAAATTAGTAGTAGCGCGTCTGCAGAGGCTTCTACAAGCCTCTAATTTGAACGCCCTTGTTGTTTTGAAAAAGTGAGTTTTCCCAGAAACTTTATAACTTTACTTACCGTCCCAAATAAAGAGAATCTGTACTGATTATTAGGTTCTATAACCAATCCCGTGACACCTTCCTTCTTCAACGCTGTGCAAACAGCTTTAGGCGCAAAGTCGGTCCTGGCGCAGTTGATATTTATCCCTCTGAACAAAATATCCATAGCTTTGACCGTTAAGAATATGTCCGAAGGATTATCAAAAATTCCTGTGAAAGCCTTTCCTATCATGTTCAACATCGCTGGTTTATCTTTGGCCACAACGCCTACCATACCCTGAAATCATTTGCATTGGTTGGAATTATAATCCTTTCAATAATAGCCGAGCCAATTATTCCATTGAGCGGGTATTTATTCCTAAATGCTAATAGATGTATGGGTCAGAATGTTAAACAAAGGGAGAAACTTTGCGCAAAGGTTTCACAGTTTGTAGAAAATTTGTTTTGATGAAAACTTTATTAATTTTCAATCGGGTTTAGTTCACAGATATCTCTATTAGTTTAAAAAGCAAGCAATGTTATGAATGGTGACCACAAAAATAATTATCGTCGCCAATGTCAAAGTTTTACATCGCTTCGGGAGCAATGTTCTATGACGAAAACAAAGTCAACGACGACAAATAATATAAATATCACATACACAAATGTATATTTTCATAATATACTTTTTGTAGTATAGAGAGATAAATTTGAACATAGTTCACGCTGTAATTTTTATGTAAATAGTTGTGAGACTGTGCTTTGTTCGAAATCGGTATGAAAATAAGTAGCAAAACTTTAGAAGAAGATATTATTATTGAATAGGACTTATAATTGAAAATACATTGAGATAATTGCAGGCATTCATGCGAAAGGGAGATTTTGAAATAGTTAATCAAAAAATTGAATATTATGTTATTATACCAGCATAAATGGATGCGGCATCACGACTATTTCTTCCCCAGTCAATTCAGCTCCTGACAGATCTGGTCTAAAGTAGAACACATCGTGTTTCTTGTATGTGATAGTATCGTTGTCTTCATGATCTTCGATCTCCACTTTTTCCTTCCATTCGCTGTATGAAAATGTTTCTTGTATTATTATACATTACAAATTATTAAAATAGTTATTGTTAAATTTACATTTTATTGTAGTAGAAAATCGAAAGACGATTTTTCACGAAGAGTGCAAAATATGAAATTACGCCATCATTACCAATCTAAGGTGCGAGCTCCAATTCGAACCCACGATCTCTCCTTGAGAGATGATACAGGGTCAAGAGCACGTCAAGCTTTACACTTAAGACTTAAATCCAACTCTATGCCGCTTACGATAAGAACGGTCCAAAGTACAAAGTGTCAAGCTTGATGTGCTCTTGACTGTACACGGCTCTTTAAAACTCCATACAATCATCGTTTATCCAAGAGCTTCTCGGAGCTTTTATTACTGCTCAAAATAAAGTAATGATTGTATTATTCTTTTCACTGAAGTATTAGTGATGCCAAAGTTCTTAAGTATATTTATTTATTTATTTATTGGTTCAGCAACAGCTTAACATACTTAACATTTACATACATTATTAAAATAATACAAGACTAGTATGTGAGCCAATTACAACCTAACACAGCATTATCACAATCACTTAAAAGTAACAATTAAAATAATAAACTGTACACACTATTCTATTATAAATAGACATTTAATTCCCAGTGTTTGCAAATGATTAATTTTAAATATACATAAAAAACAAAATTAAAATGTACAAATGTACAAAAAAAAAAAATTATTATCTACCGCCGCCATTGACCTACAATGACGGTCGCGACAACTTTGTCCTTCAGGCTAAGAACTCACGGAGCGGTTTCCACCCGCGCCCGCTGCTACTGCGGGATTTTCCATCCTCTAAGGTAAATTGTTAAAATATATGTCAAAATCTGCATGACTACTATTTTTTTTCCATCCTCTAAGATGACTACTCAGGCTATTGTAGTTAGAAAGCTTCCTGGACACCTGGCAATGGCTCATTAAATTTGTTCTGGACAAGAACACGTGAAAAGGTTTGCTAAGTTGCCGCCTTGAGTTTGGACGTGGATGTGCGACTCTTGATAATATCTTGTATATTCTTAGCTTCATCTGCTAATATTTTTACAAGAAGTGGTTTTTATTACGATTTTGAATGCAAAGATCGAACATACAAAAAAAGAATCATGAAAATTGGTTCAAAAATATCTTTTATCTACATAAATATTTATATTTATTTATACATATAAATATGCATCATATTATTATTGTTATCGCGTAACATACATACATAAAAAAGAACATACAGTCGAATTGAGAGCCTCCTCCTTTTTTGAAGTCGGGTAAAAAAAACTTTATAAATAGCAGTGGTTATGTTAATTTTTTTTAGTATTTTTTTATTCTGTTGTATGCATTCCAGTGATTTTATAATTAATTACATTGTGAAAGATTTTTCATAACGGATTGAACAAAAATATTTTGCAATAAATAGGTAACTTTCATTTAAATTCATGAATTCAAAGGAGCCCCAAGCGGCTCAAAGCCGTGGGGCATATAATTAGGAATTCTGACAGAATTATAAACTTTGTGATCGTGCTTATTATGAATCATTATAGCCCAATAATAGGTCTAACTACTGCAGCAAAGAAAATAAATAAATAATAATGATTTAGGATTTTATAACCAGACACGTAAAAAATGTTCAATGTGGCACCTTCCCCCCTAAAATCATTGCTTATTAAATGAGGGCGGAATTGTAACGCTGAAATTCAGGACACTAAATGGTTTTTAAATATTAGCTAAATTTGTAAAACACGCAAATTACGCTTGTGCAAAGCTCAAAAATTCCTCAGGGCACACTTTAGCCCTGATTAACGTAACCATACATCCCGCTTTGAGCTGGACAGTCCCAATTTTAGGCTTCGTGTCCCGCTGTCCCAAAATACTTAAATATGTCTCATTTTGACAAAACTGGACACACATGACAATACTTTTTAAAAATATATAAACTCAGCCCACCAGACAAATTAGTTTTTTTTAAACTTGTGATCATTGAACACTTTTAGTTCGTTTTTAAATTTTTAGATCATTAAATATTTCGTAACTATCATAAACATTTGTGTTTTATTTTTAAAACAATAATAAATGTACAAGAATGTATGGATATGTGGAGTGACGAGAAAGGATAAGATAAGAAATGAGTACATCAGGGGAAGTTTGAAAGTGGCGCCAGTGACGGAAAAGATGAGGAGTAATAGCTTAGCGTGGTATGGACATGTCACGCGGAGGGAAGAATGTCATGTGACAAGAAGAGTGTTACTGAGGTATGAATGTGGAGAGAAAAGGAAGGCCAAAGAAAAGATGGATGGATTGTGTTACAGGTTGTCATCTTTCACATGATAAGAAAGGTGAGAATATAAAAATGACGGCTGACAGGGGAGAGTGGAAGAAAAATACATGTTGTGCCGCCCCACCTAGCGTGGGATAAGAACAGGAAGAAGAGAAGAGAATAAATTTACAGGCGTCCCGCTCTACGGGAAAAAATAATGTTCACGTTAGCTCTGACCGATGAAATGTCGTTCAAATTGTTAAATTAAAAGTCGTTGGAGCTTTAATAATTGGCAATCGTATGAATATATTGTGTGCTAAAATGTATATGCCTGTTTCATTACACATTTATCAGGAACGCTCTAGGTCGGTTAAGTAATTATGAAAATTTAATATTGACGATGGAATTGGATTTAGTAGTAGTAGAGCTTTACCTATTTCTGCCGCCAAGCAGTGATGTAAGCATTACCGCGTTCCGGTCTTGAAGGGTAAGGGTGCTGGTGTAATGTGTTCCGTGTTCACACGGAACTTGTCTCAGGGTGACGGGTGCGGTAGCAGTGCCCCTCAGATCTTTGGGATTTGAAGCTCTGAGTGGCACTGCAACTCATATGGACCGAAGTGTCGCTTGCCACCAGGCGCACGATTTGTTCGTCCCGTCACTTAGTATCGTAAAAAAATAATAAAATTCGTTTTTTATCACCGTATGGTAGAGCTGTAAACTTTTTTTTGTAAATTAGGAAAAAAATATTGATGCGTATAAACCAGCCTAGTAGAATATATCTACGACTTCGCGTAAAGACGACCATAAACGCTTGTAAACCTCAATTTACATTATTTTTTGTAATCAAGGCAATGTAGTTGTAATCGTAGTTATCCTATGTCCTAAAGTCCTACCGCTGGGCACAGACCTCTTTTCAGGGCTGCCACGCAGAGGTTACCAATTACATTCCCGGGCCGGAGAAATATTTGAATGGCCCAATTATTTCTCTCGTGAATTTGGGTGTAATTTGTGATTGTCTATGGCACCCGCAATACAAAGTTTCCCTAGAGCGGAGCTATGAGTATGTACGTTAAAAAAAAGGACAAACGGTGAAATTCCGTGTCGACAGACTTATTTCCTGAACGCTATACTTTGCGCTTTTTCAACACGAGGGTGAAAAGTCATTATTTTCAATACTTAGCTTCCGTGGCCGAACAGCTACCATGCCAGAATGCCACGCGAGTTTGGGTGCAATTTGTGGTTGTCTATGTGTGTGTCCGTGGTACCCGCGACACGGGGTTTCCCTAGTGTTATGGGCTGTGTGGAGTGTGTGTGTTATTATTAAAAATTGTTGTGAAGAAAATTTCTCACATAAATTCCGAAAACTCAGAAGTGCAAGCCCGGATTCGAACCCACGACCCTCTACTTGAGCGGCGGTAGGCCAAACCATTACACTACCAAGGCTATGGCTTAATTAACAGTAAAAGAAAACAAAGTTTCGCGTCGTCCAGAGAATTTTCGCGCAGACTCAAGAATTCCCGCAGCTATACTTTCATATTTAGTTTGTACGTTACTCAATTGACATTAAGTTCATTGTGCTATGTACAATTTCGTTACAGAAATTCGTTTTGGATGCCGTAATGCGGCACTGTAAATTAAGCCTAAATTGTGCCTAGGTAAGTAATAGTACACCATTTCATCCATAGCATATGACACGTTATTTATAATCCTCTCTAGGTACCTGGTCATATTCGACAGCAAATAATGACGCTTAACTAATTAATGTACTTGTAACGTATTACGCAATCGTGGAATTACAGCTTACTTGTTTAGCAAACATGAATAGCAAGTTTTGTTAAACGTCTTGTAAATCAGGTCTAATTAAATCTGGCTGAGGTACACAAAACAGCGGAATAAGGAAAACTGTAAAATATGTAAGTATATGTAGATGGAGCGAGAAAGAAACTACAAAACAAAAGAAAAACAAATTCGAGGTAGGTAATATTCATGTGGTAATATTGGAAATTATTGCATTTTGTTTTACTAGGGCGGAAAGTAGGTTATTGCAAAGAAGTGAACAGAACAGAACAATGTGAAGGCAGGTGAGGGTGTAATAGCCGTTGCACACGGCGACCTTTAGCAGTACATAGCGCGACTGTAGTGATTCAGTCGCGATGCAGTATCGATGCAATAGCGATGCAGTATCGATGCAAACCACATGCAATGCCACCATTGTTTTATGGTATTGTAGATTTATTTACCTATGCCATTTTGTCGTGATGTCGACAAAATAACATCGATTCAACAGTGCATTTGATTCGATACAGCCGCACGTTTTAATCATCCAACATAAGGGACTGCATCGATGCAATCGCGCGTTTGTATCGCTGCTAAAATTCACCGTCTGTAACCACTCTTAAGGATCATGAATTTACAATAACCTTGACGCCCGTGCACCTCATTGTATAATGCATTTGTGAGAAAACAGGCCATTTTCCTGTGTATTCCACAATATGCATTTATTATGAATCGCAATTTCGACGTCAAAAGAATTCTATAGAATTTATAAATCACTTAAAATACTTATACATATTTGTATTTATGTAGTAACTAACAACGAAAAATTAATGTTTCGTAAAAATTGTATAAATGTTTTTTCAAAATTGAAACGAAAATAAAAAGCAAAGAATTTAACAGTCTTCAGATTCATTTTTTTTAAATACTATATTAATTAAATACGATTTATTAGCATCCATTTATCAAATTCGTCGCGTATGCAGTGTTCTTTATCAATATCAGCAGACTGAGGGGCAGCACCAACACCATTTTACAGGTCATACCTGATATGATCTAACCCTTTATAAAATCTTTCATTCGAGTCCTGATGGAATAGACTCACAAGAGACTATTGTAGTGCGGGCGAGAGATATAAGAGTCGGCTGCCATTTTTTATAATTTGTGCAACTATTAATTATTATTACCACTAACCTAGTCTTTAAGTTATATTTGTAAGTTAATAACATTATTGGACCTTAAATAATGTCTTGTCTGAGTAAATAAATTATGTTATTATTAATATTTTTAGTACATAATTTATGATTCATAAATTCCAAAAAACCTCTGTGCTAGTAAAGTTCTAAACGAGCCTTGTAGGACTAAAATAAACACAATTATTTTTCGCACGAAGGTGGAATAACAAGTATTTTTCCTCACTAGTTCGCAGAAGTACTATTACCGAATCTCCGCAACAGAAAGTGCAAAAAAAAGTTTTTTTTATTGATTACCATAATAAAATAGCATTTGACCACAATCTCACCAAGTGGTAAATAACAGACGTACGTGTATGTACTTACGCGTAAGTAACCCACGCAAATTCCACGCTCATAATGTACTTACGTGAAATGTAATACGTAGGCAGGCTAGACAATAAGTATGAACTTCTGTAAACAAAGATCTAATTGTGTTTCCCGTATTTGTGAAAATATATGTGTGCTTTCATAAGAGTTGAGCAATAAAATGTGTCTGGTTTATTTCTATATAGTTGTGGATTCTGTTGAGTTGTCTATTATAGTTGTGGACAATCATAATAAAACTTTTATTTTATTTATTTTCAAGATTACTTACTCAAAATGATAAGGCCCGATTTCCTTAACAATAGGTACGGCTCCCTTTTGTACCTCTTCCGCATTCGTGTAGTTGAATATGTAGATTTTGAAGTCCAATGCAAAAGGAATTTTCTCCCACATTTGGCGAACGTCTGTCTTCTTGGATAAGGCCATTTCCTGGTAATAACACAAAAATTACTGCTTAGCGATAAGGACCAAATTCCAAACGCAATATTTTGAACGTAATGTCTAAAGGCGACGTCGGATTCCAGCGTAAATTACAAAGCACAATAAATTAACATCATATTTTTGCTCTTTGAGGAAATATTCTGGGAATCCCGTCAAAATTCTTTATATTGGAGTACTTATATGAAATTCGCAAATGAGCAGCTTTAACTTTCTGGGAATATTTTTGAGAAATGCGTTGTTTTATGTTTCATTAAGTCCAGTCAAATTGGCTTTGTTTTCATGTCGAGTTCATTTCGTAAAAAGCAGAGTAGAGAAGGGCCATATGTGTTAAATCAACAACTTATACAATTGTGTAATATTGACTAAATGGTGGAGTAGACAGTGAGATAATATACACTCATTGTCTACCATGTCTACGCCAATACTAATTCGGTATATATACTATTTTACTATAGTATAATGGTAATTGGAATTAGTTTTTCACACTATAATATAAGCTTTATATGTCGAAAATGAAACTATTTTTAAAACGACCTTAAAAAAAGGAGGAGGTTATTAATTAGACTGTATTATTTGTGTATGTTACGTAATTACTTCGACATTTGTGAACCGAGTTCGATTATTATTTTTTGTTGGAAAGGGGACCCTCAGTAGTGGTGCCATTTAATTGAAGAGAGCAAAGGCTTAGCAGCAGCAGTAGAGCTCCTTATGAAAGAGTTCGTCCAGAGATGTACTGCCACCTTATTTAGAAATAAGTAAGGTGGCTAATATCAAGTGTGCAGTTCTGCGTTCCGGTTATGAAGGGTGCTGGTGAAATTACAGGCACATGGGACTTGTCAACTTATGTCTCAGGATGACGGGCGCAATGACAGTGCTTCTGAGAACTTTGTGATTCAAAGCACTGTGTGGCACTGGAACTGTCATTGACAGGCGAGTCGTTTACCACCAGGTGCACGACTTGTTCGTCCCATCACTTGGTATTATATATAAAAGAAGAGAATATACCACCTCTAAGGATGCCAAATTAATGTATTGGATTTCTCCCATTTTCTGTTAACCATTTTGGAAAAAAATTGGCAAATCTATTTGCGCACTACGTCCGATTCGTATCTGTTCCGAATCCAAGAAAATCCGAAATGTCGCAGGGAACATTTTATCTCTAGGTGTACAAACGATATTCGTATTCTCTCGGATTTGAATCGGGTTTAGTGCACAAGCAACATCCGAAATGGGTCCGAATTTTATAGATTTGTACAGCCTCGGATTCGGAACGAATACGAATCGGATATAGAGCGCAAACGCGCTAATTACACAAATATTTGATGTCAGCTTTTATTCTATTTTGAATATAAATCGCGTATACTGATGACTGAAGTCAAACGTGACCAAAACAAAGCGCAATTCAGATCCGACATAAAAGTCTCATTTTTATTACTTAACTAGGACCTCTCAGGTTCGATTCCCAGGCCGGGAGAAATATTTGTATGGCCTACATTTATTTCTCTAGTGAGTTTGGGTGTAATATATATAAATATAAATGGTTTTAGAAACAAGAAATTGGTCTTATAGATTTATATACTTAATACTAAACAACTTAATTAAGTGTGATCTCTCTTAAGAATTACTCTTATAGTCCTTATTTTAAGTTCATCTGTAGATCAACTGATTATTTTTAGTAAAATTATTCTATACACATCCAGTAAAGTCTATTAATACTCTCAACACTAGTGTTCTTAAGTTTATTCTAGAAATATTTAATTTATAGACATTCTATGGTGTATGCTTATTGACAAACACGTTATAGCGCGTCTTCAGTAGATTTTATTTAACAAAATACTATAATTAGGGTTTTTACTTTATTGGACGTTGTAAGCGTTCATGCAAAATGGATAAAGTAAAGAATATTAAAAGATCTGGTGAAGATGGTGAACCTTTGATATTATGTCACATCATTCGATATATTAGTCGGTAATTCGCGCGCGAGCCGGGCATGTGCATTTTTGTTTGCTGACAAATAAATAAACATTGTGAAGTAATTCCGTATTCTAAAGTGATATAAACAATTGAAATGAGCGCGTAAACTACTGTACTTCAATGTTGTGTATGTGTATTGTGCCGTCTATCAATTGAATACAGTGAAATCATTGTGTGGAATGTGGTTGGCGTGAAGAAATAACCTCAATTTTGTAATGAAAATTTTATTTCTTCCAACATAAATTAGGTACGTTATTGAAATATACCTTATCTGATAGGGAATTTATCCACCTTTCTAGTCATATATAACACATTCCATATACTTATACAGAATAACGTCTTTTTGCAACCAATTGGATTTTTTAAATTGTTTTTTGACCTTATGTTTTAAAAAGTTTTTTATTGCATAATACGCTCACCATTCTGTAACTTTTACCCATAAAAAGGTTTTGTAATACTGTCAAAAGAAAAAACCGCTTAGAAACATAGCGTTTTGTAGCCAATCATAAAAGCTTCATAGGAGTGAATATTCTTCTACAAGATCAACTACATTAAAGCAAATAAAAATAATCTTTTCGCATTCTAAAGTTTTTCTATAGATAAAGATATGGACAAAATGCTCCAATAGTATTTTGAAAAATGCTTTAAATTCTTATCACCATTTTTAGTTTTAAAGAATGACTATGAAGTAGCTGAGAAAAATTTCTTTTCTTTTTAAAAAGTAAATCTAAGTTGAAATTAGCTTGAAGAAGCCTAGAACTTCATGGAAATGATTCGTTTTGTGAGTTGTTTTGTTTATTTAAGCTTTCTATAAACCGAAAATTTAAAACCGAAAATCGACAATTGTACTTTTATTAAGTTTAACTTTATACATAAATATTTAAAATACAGCGAGCGCATTAGTTTTATGACAGCTTTTTCATTAATTTTCACAGTGTATTTAAAGTCGCACGTCGCAGTCGCTTTCTAAACGATTAAACATTGCGCGAAAAAGTCAGAAACATTATATCTAATTTCGCCATGTTGCAATTTTGATAGTTTATATTTTGTAAGCCATAAAACTTGAAATCTATTAGTAGTAAGAGAATTGCGTCTTATGTTTGTAACGCTTTAGTTATTTTGGTTTCAAAATAGCATTATTAAGTAAACTATCATAGACTATAAATTATCTAAAAACTGTCTACAAAACTAAATCCTGTTTTATAAAAAGGTTTTGTAGCATTCTGGAAGGGTTACTTGAGACAAAAGATAAGAATCACTCTTAACACTACCTATAGATAATTTCTCAAAGCACTCTTGTGATCTACTAATAACGTTGTGCCCACTTTTACTTTAAATTATCTAGAAACCTTCTTCAAGATATCTTGAGGGAATTTGAATTCTTAAAAGATACAATTGAATTAAATTCTATTAGATATCCTAAAGTATCTATTTAGATATAGATGTGGTGCTTGGGCTATGTGTGACCATGGCACCCGCGATGCAGGGTTTTCCTAGTGCGGGGCTATGTTGAGTGTGTACGCTATTGTCATTATTATATGAGTAACAATCGCGAAAAACTAGGAACTCGATATGTGCACCTTATATTTCTAATCGTGCCTTATGTACTTCTAATGTAAGTCAGACTTAGAGATAAAAACAAAGTTGAATACATCGAAATTATCTAAATTATAGTACATGACGAAGTATTCAAGCTGTCATATAATTAGTCAATTATACCGTTCTTAATTTGTAAGTGAATCACAAAACAATTTAATAATAAAAACTCCTACTAATTATGTTATACTTGATTATAGGAAATTAAATTACGATAAAATTGTTTTTTGTTTAATAGAAACTTCTGCGATAAATGACTTTACCAAGGAAATTATTCAGAATCTTTTATTTTTAAGACATATGTTGTGTTTCATGTATAAGTATATATACATATATGATTATGAGCGTGTGTGCGCGTGTATATTGCGTACCGTAGACAGCACATCGGGCTTCGGACTTTCAAAGGTCTGCAGAGGGCTGAAACTATCACAGCGTTAGAGGCAAGCAATCTTAAGTGTAAACGGAGACGTTTTCTATGGATGATATTTGTAAAAACTTATATTATTAGAACATATGTCGCAGAGGTGACTTAGGTATACTAGGTACTAGACTTTCTTTGTATTACGCATTGGCTATACTGCGACTAATCCGCCGGCAAATTGAAGCGGTCATGGCAAAACCTTCACTTATTATAATATAATAATATAATGTGATAATTTCCAAAGTATCTTACCTTTTTCAGCTGACTTTTAAGAATGACGGGGAACATGACCCATCCGAAGAGCACGCCAAAGAGGGCGGCTCCACCGGAACCAATGGCAAACTTCAAATGTTTCGGCAGCTGCATTTTCAGCTGGATATACATAAATAATGAATTGAATTGCTAATTATTACAAAGTCGTCAACGATACAAACAGCTTAGTAATAAACCCGGACTTTTATAAATACAAATAAAGGCTCTATTTTCATTATTCTTTATCACAAAATCACCTGCACGCCTGCATTGTTGTAGCATATTGAATTCCTCCTAACAAAATTTACGCTGAAATATATTCGAAGCTGCAATATCGATTAATTGAAAATAGGCATAAGTATCCCCCACGTGCCAGTGCTAGTCCTCTGATTAAGTAGACCTGGCGATTACAGCCCATTATCCAATCTCAGAATATCGATGCAAGGCAGTGAGGTGGTTCTCACGGTGCCTATGAAACATAGGTCAAGATTAATGTCGGTTCATTTTAAGTGTTTCTTTATGAAGTTTAATCAATAAAGATTTATACGTTGCTGTTGCACAAAATCAATGGAAAAATTTCAATGGCATGGTTTATATAACAAATTAAGACATGGTTTCGTGTCTGTCGTTGTAATATCGCCAGTGGAAAGCACTGCTTTAAGAGCAGAAGAGTGGTTTTTACTTCTATCCGCTTTAACCTTTTTAAGCACTATGGGCACTTTTTTGGTTTTTCGCGCTTTTGAAAACGCGACACTTGTGAACATTAAGCCGGATTTACGTTTGTTTGATCTACATTTAACATGGTTAGATTTATATTAGTGTATCGTAATCTGACGTCGCGGCTTGTGTTGTGTGTATGAAACCGATACCGTTCTGACGCGTCACGACATGACACGTCAGACAAATGTAAATCCGGCTTTGTGCGGTTGCATCGATGCAAACGGGCGACTGCGTGCAGTCGCTTATGTTGAATAATTAAAAACGTGCATTGCGTTTGCATCGCCTCTACCTCCGGGAATAAACCATGCATCACGCAGAGTTCGATTTCTGGGCCGGGCCGGGAGAAATATTAGTATGGCCTACATCTATTTATCTCGTGAGTTTGGGTGTAATTTATGATTATCTATGTGTGTGCCCATGGTACCCGCGACACAGGGTTTCCCAAGTTATTTATTTCTTTATCGAGTTTGCATCGCGACTACATCGCGACTGAATCGCTGCAGACGTGGTACTAAAAGTCGACGTATAATCGCTCTTAGTTGCTATAACTAATTAAAAATGTTATGGTACGTATGGTATTGTAAAATGGTACGTTAAATTTATATAGTGTATATTTTTAGTAGCAGCAGAGCTCATTATGAAAGAGTTCTTCCAGGCTAGTACTGCCACCTTACCTATTTTTGCCGCCAAGCAGTAATGTCAGCATTACTGTGTTTCGTCCGTTCGATTTTGAAGGGTAAGGGTGCTGGTGAAATTACAGGCACATGGGACTTATCAACTTATGTCTCAGGGTGACGGGCGCAGTGGTAGTGCCCCTCAGATCTTTACAATTTAAAGCTCTGAGTGGCACTGTAACTGTTATGGACAGGCACGTAGCTTACCATCAGACGCACGACTTGTACGTCCCGTCACTTGATGTTACAAAAAAATATAGTATTTGAATTTATATAGTACGAAAAAATCACTGTTATGTTCGGTCTTACATATAGTCTGTGAGTGTTTACATCCTAAAATAAATTCGTTTAATAGACAATTATTAAATTAGTTTTGCTGGATATACTTAACTAAATTGGATTTCACTTATCCCTTGTCACCTTAATTCGATTCGTCTAAACTCTATCAGCTCTGATGGTATTAAATTTGTGATCCAGTTTATAAGGTTCAAACGGGGCTAAAAAGAAACTAAACAGTTCTAGAAGGAACTTTAATTAAAAAGTTAGTATGTACATACTAACTACTTCGATTTTATGTCTCGTGAAGAACCCTTTATTTTTCTTTTTTGTATTTCTATTACCCGACGTCACGTAATTGAAATGTAGCTCATTTTACAGACAAAGCATGTTGGTTTAGTTTCTACAGTACAAATTCCATGAATTTTTAAAACTCTTAATTTTGTCTCTACCATCAATTTTGTTGTTTCAAGTTATATGTAATAAGATATAGCGAAATAAGATTTTTTTTTCTATTCACTAAAAAAAGTACAGAACTATATGAACGTAGGTATACCACTATTTTATTCACAATAATTGTTTCATAAAGCTATACTACATACATCTAGACATAACTTATATTTTAACAAAATTATTGGTATTTTTGCTTATAATGTATAAACCAAATTATGAGAAATATAGAATTAAATACATACACGTGCAGTGGTCTGTTTGCGGAGACAGCTAGCAGAATACTTTACCTGTGTTGCAACGACATATTACGGGGCGGGGAAAGGTACACTTATGTAGAAAATCGTACCCATGGTACAACAAATCAACATGTGATAATACGTCAAAATAGCTTTTATCACGTGAAAATCATAAATATAATACCAACTACATGAAACAAATTATGTGTATGTGATATTTTACAACTTTCCTATATAAGCACAAAAAGTTTGAACTTATTTCGTTCGTAGAATCTTCAGACCTCTCCTGAAAAGTTGTCATTTTGTAGATATGGCCTTATTACACCAAGGGTGCGGATATTTTGAGACACAAGCAATAAATACTTAAGTCTTCTGCCTTTGTAGAATTATCATTAGGTACTTCAAAGTGAGCTTAGTCAGTAATTTGCAAATCATTTTTGAATTGAATGAAAGTATCAAACGATGGGACGATGAAGTCGTGATAAGCGACATGCCTGTAAGTGACAGTTGCAGTGTCACTCTGAGCTTTAGATTGCAAATATCTGAACGGAACGCAATACAGCTCACATTACTACGGCAGAAATAAGTAAGGTGGCAGTACTTCCCTGAACGAACTCTTTCACAAGGAACTCTGCTGCTTCTAGCTATTATACAACCGGTGTAATCTCAAAAGATGAGAAATAAACGCCATTACAATATACAAATGAGGAAATAAGTAATCCGTCTACCAGTATTACAGCTGACCGAATAGACATAATTGATATGCATTATCAACATCCATCTGTGGAATTTGTTGTCCAAAAAGTGTAAACAAAAGTTTGATCACTATTATGAAAACTGATTCATCAAACAAAGGAGTTGTACATGAAAGGAAGAAAGCAGTTTTGAATAAAATGTTAAATATATTTCATATTTAGCTCGAAATATTATGTAAAAGATGATGAACACATGCACTGTGTGGTCGCCACACTATGCAGTGCACCAGTTACGAATGAACGTATATAGAAGAGATTCTTGTGGCATCTTACAAACACATGTAGAAAGCTTAATGAACTCCCAACCTATTTAGATAAACTAGGGCATTTCAAAATGGAGAGTTTAACTGACCACTGACGTATGTTAGACCTAGTTTTCACGTACAAAACCCTGAGAAACGAAATAGATTGCCCTCCTCTTTTACAATTGTTTAAAATCCGCGTCCCAAGCCGGATGCCCCGTCACCCGGTCTCACTACTCCATCCGCCGCCTTCTAGGACCAACCTTAAGTATCACTCCGCTATCGCTAGATTGTCAAGAAGCTTTAACGCGCTTGATCAAACAATAGATGTGTTCAACGTTTCGCTCCATATTTTTAAATTTAAAATATGAATGAATCCACCTGGACGTAACTCATGTTTATTTTATTCTATATATCTATATTTATCTTTACTTAATATTAATTAGATTTTTTTTTTCTTTATATTCCATTTATACCAGGGGGTATCATTGATAAAATTTTCTTTTTGTTTTCTTTGCATGTTGTGGCACCTACAGGTAGTGCAATTAGAATTAAATGTATTTTTAAGTCTCTATTACTCCCTATATTTATTGTATCTACCACTGGCTGTCCTTAAATAAATAAATAAATAAACAAATAAATAAATGAAGCCTGTGATAAATAATAATTGGAGAGGGTTTGCAGGAACCCAGTAATCAGATATTTGAATTTATAATCCCACTTACTTTGTTTCAGGAAAACGACAGTATACAAATGATTCGTCAACATCAATTTTGTATTTACTTGGAAGTTTATCATGAAAATTATATTGTGCTCGCCTGTACATCTCCGCCTACTGACCGCGGGGTGGTACACGTCACAAGACAATTGTATATCATTTAGAATCAAAGGAAAAAGTACGTACCTACAGGTAAACTTTATTATTTAGGCTCCTCCTACTCGATACGGTAATAATTTGTTTGGGACTCGCTTCTGAAGCATTTATAATAGAAAATATAAATTTTACTGTCAATGGCTCAGGACTAACACTGCGCAAAGAGGACAGATCGAGAGGTAGTGAATATATTTTTATCTCATATAACACTTCTAATATCCATATGGCAAGCATAATAATAGAAACATACTGTTTTCTTAGTAAATATGTACAGCAGTGGCGAATAATCTTGTTGCAACTTTTTCCGATCAAAATCTATCACTAAATTGGCACAAAGTTCCAAGTCTTTCGGTTTTCTACAGATTATACTTCGGTGAGTATGTACACCGGTCCATTTCGCCTAAATGAGAGAGATTTTAGTATCGAACATCCAGACGTACTTAAGAATATCATCCTTGTTAAAAATAATAGCAAGTACGTATTATGTTTAATAATCATGAAATGCGCACATTACGTCTGAAAAAAATATCAACCAAGTAGGTTGACAAAGAAATATTCTTTCTCTGAAACTTTTATCTAATGAATTCATAATACACATGCTAATATTTAACATAAATATTATTTAATATATCGTATAAAACAGAGTATTTCTTGAAGCTACGTGGAATACTCGCGAAGTGAATACATTATTATAATACATTGAAAACATTAATATTGCGTATACTCCGTAATTGAGTACGGTTTGCACAACTGTTCCAGTTTTTATTTCAAATACTGGAAACCCTGTAATAAAGACACGCTGTAGATGATGATGATAATAAAAAAAACTGCGCCTAACATAAAAATTTAAGCCACTCTTAAATCAAATTAACAAAAAATATTAT